CCCGGGGAGCATGATGATTCCCAGGCATATTCCTACAGCAAATACCTTCGGTCTACAGCAAAGGTTTTCATCTGTATGTATGTACAACTTTCGGAAGATAAAGGAGAAATTTGTATTTATGCTTGCCGCTCAATCTTTACGATATTTCGCACCTGTAAAGGGTTTCTCACGTGGACGCGCGTGAAACGTAAGAATTTTGTCACTTGGGGTTAAGCGTGAATATTATTCACGAAATGGATTACGTGAAAAACTAACGTGCGAATAAATGTGAAGATATTTTTCACAATGAAATTAGTGGGAAACATTTTCACGCGTGTCCGCAAGTGATATTTTTTTCGGAAATTTTAACATGAGAAATTCACTTGTGGCCACTACACACTTCACGACTTTCACCTGTGATCGCGTGCAAAAAATATGACGCGAAACGTTTTCGTGACCAGTTCACCCGTTGTCACAAGTGGAATATATTTTTCACGCGTGCTCACACACCATTGTACGATGTTCACGTGGGATCACAATTCATTTCACGATATTCACGCGTGTACACACCGCGGTAAAATTTCCCCATGGGAGGCGTATATTTGAAGTAATGATGATCATTGTAGATTTAAGAATTACATCGTAGTTCATGCAGATGTGAATCCCGTCAATACTGTTTCTTTGTTCGACGCACGAAGAGAGGTTTTCGTTTCTATTTGCTTGCTCTCTAACCTTCTTATTTCATTTTATATTCATGCTACTTAGTCGCTCGTTGTCATTGAAAATACTCACTAGTAGTGAGTAGCTGAATTATATATAGTGAGTCACTACTACCCCTTCATCTGAGAAAAAAACGATGAATTTAGAGCTCTTCCATTGTTTCAAGAACTTAATCTATTCATCTTATAAAGTTCTGAGAGTTTTAAGCGTTCTTTACTTAATAGAAAATAGAGAGGACGTCGCATCAAGGGCCAAAAGTAGGCGTTTAGGACATGCAAGAATTTTCATTTCAGGTAAATGGTGAAGAGCTGGGGCTTTCTTTTTTGTGCAGTAAACACCTATGGGTAGGAGTTGACACAGTCCGATTTTTGAATTTTTTCATTTACTGATCTCTCGTACTTAATAGAATTTTAAAACCAGAAAAATCCTTAGAGGATTTCTTAGAAATCCCCATTTTTATAAAAAATGGAAGCATAATTTAAAAATCGGACTCTGTCGGATCCTAGCTATAGGCGTTATCTACAAATCAAAAAAAGAATTTTCTTTCTCCGATGTATCGTTACCCAGAAATCCTACAAGTGACGAAAGTCCTGAAGTTAAAAACGGTGTTGAGAAAAACGCAAAATAAATTTTGATTCTGTTAAATGCGTTTTATTTAAAAACTGTTTGAGCGTTAAATAATTTGTTGATACTTCGCAAAGTATCAACTTAAAAAGTTTTGGCTATCCGACCATGTGCTTTTCTCAAAATCGATACTTTTGACGAAAATCGGCATTTCTGATCCGGAGAGGAGACTTTAAATTGATTAATTGATTGATAAAGTTCTCTTTTTTCGAGCAGACACTGAACGGTTTACAGTAAAAAGTACTTTCACAAAAAGTCACTCTAATCTTTGATATGTATAACAAAATACAAAACACCTAAATAGTCACTTTTTTCATTGATCCAAAATTATGTGTACGATCGAGTAAATTGTTTCATATTTGTTCATAGATCAAAGACAAACAAAAAAATGTAGTTAGATATAAAATGGGTTCAACTACATTCTAAATCAAAAATTTCTTCAGAAGCTATGGATGTTATCTGGTTTAAAAACTTGTTTTGATGTGCTTAGTTTTGAACAATCCAAATATCTCAGAATAGAACGAAAATCAAATGGAAATTATTTGAATATTTCATTCGAGAATTTAAAATTAATCAAATCAGCATAATTTTAATTTCAAGCGATGTCAAATTCATGCCAAATATTTATGTGTTGCTGAAGATCTGTGAGAGCAACCACTGTTTTTTCACAAATTGAATGCATAATTATGAGCGCATCTGTATGCAGAATACAACGAGTAAAAAAAGATTATTTTTTCAAAAATGGAATTTGTTGCAAGAAATGTAACAATTTACTTTTAACGTGAAAATAGCAATTACGAATATTTCGAGTGCAAAAAAAAGCATAGTGAAAATAACAAAACTTTTTGTCGTTTTTAACGTCACATGTGACATTTGAGCTAAACAGTTCCGGCACAGCAAGCAGCAAAAACGCGCGAAAAATGACTACTAGTACGTTTTTGCTAGTTCGTTCTCACATTAACTGTGAATTATCTCAGTCATCAGCTCAGGCACTCCATTCTCTCTAATAAATATTATACTTTTCGCAACGCGTTACAATACTAGACTTCTCATTTACAGTACCCTGTACTTGTAATAGTTTAACCAAATAGTTTTGCCTACTTTCTCAGATTAACAATTATTTTTGAAGTCAATCCCTCAAACTATTCAAAGCTCGAATCACTTAAGGTCTTTTTATCTTGTTCATTTAGAATATTAGACAAATCATGCTGTCTGTCTAATGATTAGTAATCAGATATTCTTTAGTTAATTGAGTCAAATACGTGGCTCGATTAGCAGCGAGATCGATGTTGTCAAAATTATTTTGTAAGAGAAAACAGCGTCAATTATTCTCCTACTCCATCGGTGCTTTCCTCTTCCTAACTTGTCTACTCATCTCAGATACCATATCCACGCAAAGTCGACTATTTCTTATTAATATCTATGATAAATTTAAACTGTTTCCTCTCAAAAGCTTACCACTTGAAAAGTACATTCGTGTTCATATATTACCATCCTCACATGTCAATATTTGTAAGAGAGATGATCAATTACTAATTTATGTTTTATCAACATTGCAAAATATTCGTCAACGACATTATATTCGAAAAACATGGGCAAATATGACACACCATTCAAATTTATCAAAAACATGTTGCATATTTATTATTGGAACTGCATCTTCTGACTTAGTTGATTCTTGGAGCTATCAAAGACATCTTGACAATGAAAAACAACTGTATAACGATGTTGTTCAAATAAATCATAGTGAATCGTATCGAAACGTTGTTTATAAAGAAATAGCCGCTCTACAATGGTCCTATAAATACTATCGTGCTATACCATTTCTATTCAAAACCGATGACGATCTAATTGTCGACAGTATTCTTCTCTCATCTATCATTCATTCACTAATACGACAAGATATGAAAAACACATATGTGGACAAATACCGTCCTTATTTTATGACAAATCTTGTGCCATTTAATCAAAAAAGCTTTTTCAAAGGATGGGAAATGGATCGGCAACCAGTACAGCATACCGGTAAATTTGCAGTTAGTCACAAAGTCTGGCCTCACAAATTTCTGCCATCATATTGTTCAGGATTCGGAGTTGTCATGTCATCCACTGTTCGTAATCGTCTCTATCGCGCATCCCTGTTCTATGAAACCGAATCTGTAGTATGGGTTGGTGACGTGTTTGTATCGGGATTTCTAGGTAGAACAGCTCGAGTTCAATGCAGGAACTTAGGACTCGATTACGAACAAACAGCAAGTGGAAACTGTTCGTGCCTGATGAAACAAAATCCAATGTTGACCATATGTTCAACGATGATCCATTCGGGAATAGAAAACTATAATGAATATGAAGCAACCTGGAAAGTTATTTTACAGCGACATCAGAGCGGGAAGACAAATGAAACAGAGGATGCGAGCACGGATGTATGTGACTACAGGATTTCTTGAATATGAGTCGAAGATCTGGATTCCGAGCACGAGTATGAGTACGACTCCAATTTCTTCTGGAAAAGACGATGATAATGTCTTATTTTGTGCTGATAAAATGCAGTATCAAACCCATACTTGTGCCGCTATGTTTGGCTTTGCTCAAGAGCAGATGCTTGCTTTTATGTATTTTCATAAGACAACGTATCTGTATAATGTACAAGTAGTTTGAAGGCTGCTAAACGTTGAGTACCAGGATCCAGTACAATAATTTGGTACTCGTGCTCGTCCAGCACTAGATGAGGATGAAAAGTGATGATTCAGGTTCGTTTGTGCCTAAGCGGTATTCATTTTTTGTACACTAGTGTTTTGTATAAACCATTATTTTCACGATCTATCAGTCCGCAGTTGTATATAGCTAATTTAACATCCCAAATAAGTAAACTTTGCCTATATACCGCATTTGCAACTTGTACGTAGCATGCTTGAATTTCAACTGATAGCATGTCTGTTTCAGAAAAACTTATAATTTTCTAGGCAGATTTTGTCGTTGTAAAACATATATGCATACTATAACGTTGAGATATGTTTGTGTAAGGATAGTTAAAGCGTCACTTCATCCATATGCTTTGAAGATATAATCATTATTATCCTGATCTATTTAACTTTCTCTAAAATCTGTGGTTTGATCTTATGCTATTATACCCAGATACATGTCATACATCAGTTTAGTAAAAAATACTAATACGGACTATGTATAAAACATAAACATAAAAACTGAATATGCGAGAAGAAAACCAATGATTATGTGTTACGAGTGAAGCCAAAACACGTATATATATTAAAAGTGTAAATAAATAAATATATACTTGCTGTTTCGGATATAATATAATAACGGTATAACAGTCCAAGAAAAAAAATGTTACAACTGATTTTCAAAATTAGGTTCAAGAGAAGAGACAATAAATTGTTTTAGTTTAAATAAACCCAAAAGACCATACCCTTTGTCTATACTAAAAAGAATCCATTACCTGAATTTTTAGACCATACATTTGCATATTCAACATGGAAAACGAAAGAGCAGCATTACTAGACAAAAATGAGGAGAAATAAACATTTTTTTGAGAAACGCAATCGCAGCTTTGCAAAACTAGTATACCGTAGTCAAAAAGCAGTGTACTCAGATGTTTTTTGAATAATGTTTGATCGGAATGAGGTACAGACCTGTGGATTTCAACATTTGATAGAGGACACTCGGGGCTATAATCCAATCAAAATCCCAGTCTTCCGAAAAGGTTTACCACGGTGTACCTTTCGAAACAAAATGTCCGAGCCTACTATTTCAAAAATCCATATAGCAAAGTACTGCTCTAAACACATGTGGATATACAACAGATGTCACTCTACAACTTGCCGTAAGTCCTAAGTCTCCATGTACCGTGGTTTGGGCGCTAGAGGCTACCTTCGGGAACCTATCTATCGGCTAAACCTGGAGTCCGGAAACCTTAACAACACATGAAACACAGGTTTTCGAACATGAGAAATCTCGCGGCAATGTTTGTTTTGTTGTCAGGATTAAACAAGCTTCAAAAGATGGATTTTTCAGAAAATTTGTTTTTTCCGCTATGACTATACTAAAATAAAAACATTCTAGCACCATCATTTCTCAACCAAAGTGCTTCAGATTTTTAAAACTCACTCAGTTTCGCTTACTGTACAGTTCAGGAATGTTAGAATTATGTTTTCATACTGATATTTCACCTAAAGATCTTCAGAGGTTTTCTGGAAAACCTGTCGAAGATCCGATTTGTTTTTATAGTTCTGTTGGTGAGATCGGATAGAATACCTGCTCTTATGCTCACTCTTCAACTTTCATGCGATTTGGTTGAGAAATGATGGTGCTAGAATGTTTTTATTTTAGTATAGTCATAGCGGAAAAAAACAAATTTTCTGAAAAATCCATCTTTTGAAGCTTGTTTAATCCTGACAACAAAACAA